CAAAAATTCCATGAACTCTTCCTCACCCAGTTTAACACTCGGATCAAAATATTCCGTTCTGATRATGCYAAGGAGTATTTTGAGAAAACCYTCTCCGCCTATCTTGAAACTTTTGGGGTTATTCATCAAAGTTCTTGTTTTTACACTCCACAACAGAACGGAGTGGCGGAAAGGAAGAACAAGCATGTGGTTGAAGTTGCCAGATCCCTCCTGTTTGCATCCCATGTTCCTATAAAATTTTGGGGAGATGCTGTTCTTACTGCTACCTTTTTGATCAACCGTATGCCCTCCTGGGTTCTTAACTTCAAAACCCCCTTTAGCCTTCTCTTCCCGGATATGGATATTTTCTCTTCCTCTCCGTGATTTTGGGTGCACTTGCTATGTGCATGTTCACAGCCATCAACGTCACAAGTTTGAACCTAAGGCTCGTATATGTGTTTTTCTGGGATATGCTTCCACACAGAAGGGATATTGCTGTTTTGATCCAGTTAGTGGCACCAACTTTGTATTTCGGGATGTCACATTTGTTGAGTTGACTCATTTCTTTAGTATTTCTCCTGAGGGGGAGAAATCTGAAGAGCCCTTTGCTGTCTCCAACTGTTCCTCTTGAGTCCTCTCATGAGGTGTCTACTTCTCCCACTGGACCTACCTCCGATATTCCTATTCCTCCTCCTCCTCCACCTCATTCTCCTATAATTCCTTCTCATCCTGTTCTCCAAAGGTGGTACCAAAGGCACAGATTTAGACATGGGCAGGTTGTTTTCACTCCTACAGAAGAGTCTCTTGCTCCTCCCATCATTATTGAGGTAACAGGTCATCCTTCTTCTGACCCAGCTACGTCTTTCCCAGACCTTGACCTTCCTATTGCTCTCCACAAGGGCAAGCGGAAGTGTACAACCCATTGTATCTCCAAACACCAGTCTTACAGCCTTCTCTCTCCTTATTATCTTGAGACATTTGCTCCTGTAGCTAAGATGACCTCAGTCCGGGTTTTGTTATTTCTAGCCGCTACTTTTGATTGGCCCCTACACTAGTTTGATGTTAAAAATGCCTCCTTAAATGGAGACCTACAGAAGAGGTCTATATGTCTTTGCCTCCAGGGGTGTATGGGAAGGAAATGCAAGGCAAGGTGTGTAAACTACAGAAATCTATT